CTTCACTTAGGTTTATTTGCTTCACTTCAATTTTTTCCTTGTTCCTTGTTCTATTCCCCGTCACTAGCCATTCATTCATTCCCTCAGCTGCCAGTTTTACCTCATGCCCTCACTTAGAGTAAAAAGCAGCAACCTTATTACCTCGGCAACAAGAGAGCAATGGTTGAGAAGTCGGCAGTTTGAAAAAAAATGCAAGTTTATTTCGACAAACATTCGAAATTTTCGAATTATATTGAAGAGCCAAGAAAACATTTCTTGGGCTGGTAAGAATCTCCTACGAGTAGCAGGATACACTCCAGCAACAAGGATACACTCCAACAACAAGGCACGTCATCGGTAACTAGGCACGCAACTAGGCTCGTTAGTGGGTACGTAACTAGATACGTAACTAGGCACGTAACTAGGTACGTAACTAGGTACGTTATACGTGTATCCATCGGTGCGTAACTAGGTACGTTATACGTGTTCCATCGGTGCGTTAGACGCACTGCGACTCAAGTTGCAAATTTTCCGTAAGCGCAGAAGTTGGCAACCCCGCGTCTATGGGAACGGAACCCCTCCCTGGGGGGGTTTAAAGAGAGGGGGGATAAAGAGAGGGGGAGAGGAAGAGCGGGGAGAGGGGGTGAGTAAGGGTAGAATTTCATAGGGGCATACGCCACGGAGGGGGTGAGGGGAAGGGGTTAAGGACCAGCGGGGTTCGGAAGTGGGGGGATGGGTNAATACAATGTCCGACAATACAATGTCCGACAATACAATGTCCGACAATACAATGTCCGACAATACAATGTCCGACAATACAATGTCCGACAATACAATGTCCGACAATACAATGTCCGACAATACAATGTCCGACAATACAATGTCCGACAATACAATGTCCGACAATACAATGTCCGACTATACAATGTCCGACAATACAATGTCCGACAATACAATGTCCGACTATACAATGTCCGACAATACAATGTCCGACTATACAATGTCCGACAATACAATGTCCGACAATACAATGTCCGACTATACAATGTCTTGTTCGGACATAAATACAGCAGCTCCTGTATGTATGCCGACACACAACACACAAACACACAGCAGACAACAAACAAATGGAGTGCAACAAATACACAATAGAATATGTCAAGATTGTGATCATATTAATGAATTATGGTGTGAATGTTTGAATGTTTTTAATAAGAAGAATGTTGCCACGACTGTGAAGTGGGCCAAGAGAGAGTTGCGCTCGACTGTCCTGCTGCCCTTTACAGCCGCCTTCGCCACTTGTTAAGGACTTTTCAAGGACTTTTTAAAAGGCTTTTCAAAGGGGTTGCTCCAGGTTTTTTTTTATAATTCTTCAAAGGGTTGTTTCAAGGTTTAGTAAAACCCTGTTTCATCCAGTTTTGGGTTCATTATATTACCAGTTTGTGAATACTTCTACAGATGGTTTTCTGAATTGCAAGTCATACATTGATAAAATCTTATATATATATAAAATATTCCTTATTCATATCAAGGCTTCTTTCCGAGGAGTTTTCACGGCTCAACTGCATGCTGTTTTTTTTAGGCCTTCTTCTGTGAACATATGCATTGATTTCTTCTTTAATGTACAAGGGTTCATTGGTGTCTTTTAATTTTTAAACGTAGTGTATAAGGAAGGGTTTTTAGAAGGTTATTTTGTATTACAATGTTAGGAAATAGTATAAATTTATTCACATCTCTTAGAAATAATTGTTCCATTTTAATTTAAACTTTACCGTTCCGCAATTTACGTTTTATTTTCTTTCAAGGTTTTATTCATCCATATTTTAGTTACACGCTGGTAAGGACTATCACCCGTCACAACGCATTTGTACACACGTGTTGTACTGAATATATTTTTATATATGTATACTCTGTATATATATAAAATATATATATACCAATATATATTTTTTTATATATATACTCGGTATTTTATCTCAACTGAAACCCGTTACTGACCGTTTGAGGTAGTGATAAAGAGGTAGTCCCCCAGCAACAATAAGACCTTCTATATTAAAATTAATTTCGGTAATTTTTAAATATAATTTAAAAGTTTCTCCGTAGCTTTAAAAATTGACTTGTAGTTTAGAAAACTAATTTATAGTTCATAATTTGATGATTGTCTGCGATGTCACTTAGATGGCGCCTACAAGTCGTATTGCCTACAAGTCGTATTGCCTACAAGTCGTATTGCCTACAAGTCTTATTGTAGTCAGGCAAAAGAGGGGAGAGGGAAGACGAGGTAAGTAGGCATACCTACGAATAAGATTTTTTCTATGTTAAAAATCAATGGTTGAATGGACGAGGGGAAACGAGGTGAGGGTTGGGAGGGTAAGGTTACTAGCGTGAGGGTTACCAAGGTGAGGGTTACCCTGCCAGGGTTAAGAGGGTAACCCTCAGAAGGTTCAGGATAAGCGCGGCGCCTGACATCCCTCAGGTCAAGGAGGACGTCCGACGCAGCACTGCTCTACAGGGCGCCGATATATAGGATGATATAGCTTTATATATCAGCTGGTATAGCTTTATATATAAGATGATATAGCTTAATATACAGCTGGTATAGCTTTATATATCAGCTGGTATAGCTTTATATATAAGATGATATAGCTTTATATATCAGCTGGTATAGCTTCATATATCAGCTGGTATAGCTTAATATATAAGCTGGTATAGCCTTATATATCAGCTGATGTAGCTCTATACATTAGATGATATATGTATCAGTGTCAAGATTTACACTAAGATCTGTTATTCTCAAGAAGTTACAAGTTCAGCAAAACTGAAGCAGCACAGCCACGGACGCGTTCAACTTCCGTGGTTGCAACACGGGCATAATATTAGCCGCTAGTCTAATATTATGGCTAATATTGATTATTATTATTAAGGCTAATATTGATTATTATTATTAAGGCTAATATTGATCTATAACCGCTGCTAGCTACTACCCCTGCTTCAGCCTCAAGCAGGGGTAGTAGTAGCAGCAGCACCTGCATGAAGTCATTAAAGTTTTTTAATTCTTTACGACAGCAAGTGGATAGTAAGATGAATGGTGTTTACAAAGTACATCTGTGCTGCTCTGTAAGTTCATGAAACTAAAGCGACGATATTCTAAATTAGCTTCCTGTTCGATGAAATAGTGTGAAATCCAATTTAACTGAAGTGATATTGGATTTTAAGTGAAATTAAGTGAAATTTGAAATCCAATTTATGGAGGAATTCTATTAGAATTTCAACTTGATGGGTAAGGTTTCTACCTCCTCAGCTAGAGCAACATCAATATCACCATTGTGGCATCAAAAAACCTCCTGAACCTCACTATCATTACCACGTTCCATATTTTTCTACCGAGCGCAGACTTATCTCTCGAGGCACAGGCGGGTACATATGAGTAAATACCATCAGCTAATATACTAGCCTCGTGTATAAGCCTACTCGCCGGTACAACTGGAAGCATATAATACCAGCCGCTTATATAATCGGGTTATGTTATCCGCGTGCACAGGCACTTTTAGGCAATGCCTGAATTTTTGTTGTAAATGAGAGGTTACAGCACGCGCCTCCTCTTAATAATGAATATTGTTTTTGATACTCTTCAATACCCCAGCCTATGAGGAGTATTAAGATAGTGTTAATTAGTCTAATCTTTGATCAAGATTTGAGAACATTTTCATTACAACTCGGCACCCCATGTAGCCCAGCCAATAGGGCAAGCATCATATTTTGGCTTCAATTCAGTTCATCCGCGAAAGAAATTCATGATTTATAACTTTTTATTGATGCAAATTTTACATGTACGAGGGACGACCATCAATAAAAAATACAACTCAGTACTCACTGCAGTGAGTGACAGCGAGCGCATTTTCTCGTCGACGAAAACTTGAGGTCACGGACGGACGGACAGACGGACGGACGGACAGAGAGACGTACATGGCGAGCACAATAGTGCATTTTTTTCATAAATGAGAAAATGCGCTAAAAAGACTGCCTGCGTGGTGGGTGAAGTTCTGGTAGTACCGTATTCTCCCATGCAGTATGTGCATATGCTACTGACTTTCATCAGTTAGTGCGCCAAGCATTCCTGCTCTACAAAGCCGTGTTCCATTATCACAAATTTTTGAGACGCTTCTTTTGCGCGTTCGTCGTTTCTTGATGATGGCTGATTTTCGTGAGCAACTTGCTGCCATAAAATTTTGCTTTCTTCTTCAGAAAAACTGGGAAGTAAATGCTACAGACAGCCAACATTGATGATGCTATAAGGAAAACGCGAGTTTTTGAGTGGTTTTCCCGCTTTAGAAAAAAAAGGGGAAATGTTAATTGACGACCAATCTCGCTCAAGTCGTCCTTCGATCCACTTACCGCACTACTAAAGAAAATGTTGAGAAAATTAGTGATCTAATCCCTGAAGATCGACGTAGAAGTATTGTAATGTACAGCGTGTGCATCCGCGATGTTCGTCACTATAGAGTAATATACATAAATTCAAAGTAAAATGATGGCGTTAGCGTATCAGATTCATCGGCCTGTTGATTTCGGCTACGTTCAGCACGGAAGAAAAAGAAGAAGTTTGGATAGCAGAGACGAGACGAACGCACACTCTCAGCCTAAATAAAAAGAAGAGCCTACCCTCATTTGGCCAGTGGTTGGCCGAAACCAATTAATTCTAGTCGACCGCTGACCATTACTCGGCCAACTGAAAGTAACCATTACTCCTTACGGCCACCTGACCATTACTCGGCCACTCATTGTCACAAAAAGGGTCTGGCTAGGATATCAAATTACAAAGACTAAAAGCTCGAGGGTGGCGACTAGCCGAGCTTAGGGCAGATAGATTATTTCACAGGATGGTCGCTAATACCTCGCTCTCATACTTCATTGCACTTTGACTACCAGCCTTAAACTATTCCAATGATGTTAATAGGCCTGTCTGCTCTCATGTCTACCCTCATATCTACCCTCATGTCTACCCTCACGTCTACAGGTGGCGTCATGTCTGACTGGCTCTGCACGCACTGACGTGCAGCGGCTGTGTGAAGAGGTTGACTCGCTGTCTTCACAGCTAGCCGAGCTCTGCACCCGCGGCCACGGTGACACGCCACAGGCCCAGGCCATCGCCAGGTGATCTATGAAGCTAGTCAACCTAGAGGTCTAGGGGCCTTCTATGTGTTTATAGTTCCTTAGGTGTTATCTAGGTGATCTATGAAGCTAGTCAACCTAGTGGTCTAGGGGCCTTCTATTTGTTTATAGTTCCTTAGGTGTTATTTAGGTGATCTATGAAGCTAGTCAACCTAGAGGTCTAGGGGCCTTCTATTTGTTTATAGTTCCTTAGGTGTTATTTAGGTGATCTATGAAGCTTGTCAACCTAGTAGTCTATGGGCCTTCTATTTATTTATAGTTCCTTAGGTGTTATTTAGGAGCTTTCGTTAGACTCTGGGAGTCTAGGTGAAGGATACGTAGCTTCCTACACTTTATGTGATCTAAAGAGGAATTATTAGATAAGAGGTCTCCTAGCATAAAAATACCTAGTTTACTATTAACTAGAAAGGGAATTTCGCCAATAAAACTGCTCATTTCATCGCGGTTTTCCCCTCACCCGACGAGATTCGGCATATAAATGTAATGTTAGCTTAGAGCTCCAAGAATAGTTTTAATTAAATATCAAAGCGTCACTGCTTGACAGGCTGCAGTAGCTGACTTGGTGATACAAATTTTTGCTTAAATTTGGTGCAGAATTACTGTAAAAATGTAGCCTTTATTTATCATGTACCTAATCTAGCGTATCAACAGATAACATTTGAATATCTTCTGTGAGAGAAGCAACAAAAGAAAAGTGTGTATTCAACTTGTTCTTCGTTTCAATATGCTATAGAAATCATGTTACAAATCTTTTTAGAAATAGAAATCATTTTACAAATCAATTTTTTTTGTTATGTGGAGGGCTCCGTGACTCCAAACTTTGGGGCCTCTGTGCTGCTCATGCATCTCATCTCGCATGCGTTGGTCGTGCGTAGGAATACTTAATTAATATCACGAAATTGTAATTATGGATCCGTAATGTACAGTTCTCAATTTGAAGTTTAATTAAGGAGATATAGAACTCGATTATAATACAAAGAAACAATTGAGCATTTTGAAGATCTATAAGGTTTATTTGGTGCAGGGCGCTGTCAGGCAAGCTGCAGCAGCTCAAGACGAAGATCCAGAAGGCGGTGGTCGACCGCATGGTCGAGGACTTCGCTGACATCGCCACGCCCCTCAAGCTCTTCACCGACGCCACCCTCGCTCCTGAAGGTGAACCTCTTGTGCTGCTGCCTGTAGATTTTTAATTACTCTAAATTTCTTAAACCAGGTCTTAGGAAGCCTAAAGTGGACAAGTAACTCAACTCCAAAAGTTTATCTAATTCCATCCAAATAAATCCTGGTATTCTGAATCCCGATTCCCATAAATTTTTAATTACTCTAAATTTCCTGTAGCTTGCTTGGAAGCCTAAAGTGGACAAGGCATTTTGTTGTGAAATTGTAGACATTTCAGGAGGTTAGGGTATTATTGATGTTGGCAGCTGATGGTGGGCAGCTGAATAAAAAAAAGAGCTGATGGAGACTGAGTTGTGACGAGTGATGATAACGTGTCCTAGTCGTGTCGTGTCGTCTCCATGACGTGTCTTTAACGTGTCTCCTCCATGCTCCAGACACCCCCGGGCGGACACAGACCTTCGACGAACGCGCCCGCAACCTGACCGCCTTTAGCGGCCGTGCGGCCAAGACCGCGCGCATGGTGGCCGCCGGCAGCAGCGGTGGACACAAGAAGGCGGCCGAGGCTTTGCTGTCGTCTGCCTCACAAGTGTGTGGCCGCCGTGTGGTGTTGTATGATGGACGCTAGCATGCTGGCATTAGTGGACATGATCATGATGATATCCTTCTAGATATCGTCCGTCTTTTGACGAGTATGAAGATAGACAAAAAATGACCTCTAGGTACTGGTTCTGCCAAGCGGGTTAATAAGAGCTACCACCCACATGATAACAGCTACACCCCCCATGGTTACAGCTACACACCATGGTAGCAGCTAAACCCCCCATGGTAACAGCAATACCCCATGTTATGCCAGTCTGCACTCATATACGCCAGTCTGCACTCATATACGCCAGTATGCATCGCCGTTGTGTTCGCCAGTCTTTGTTAAATTCATTAAAAGTTCTACTCCGGAAGGCGCATTAAGGCGGAAATTTCCACGGTGGGCCTACAACGCCGGCGTGTAGGCCTGGGGAAATAATTTGCGTCTTCTAATTTTCTCGTGAGGCGTAAGGAGGCGTATGTGAGTGTTGGCACAACCAGGTTAACCCTTCTACAGGTGTGGGGTGTCATGGATGGGTTATGAGCGGCCAAACATATAATTACCAACATTTCTTGACGGGGCGGTGTAAAGAGTTGAATGTATTAAGAATATTCAAATTAAACTCATTTATGTATTCAGCGTCACCCTCATTACCAGTAGGTGCGGCGTGCGTTTTAATAACAAAGAAAGGAACATTGAACTTCGCTGCAGTGAATTGGGAGAAATTCTTCGTGGTGCGTGATGGAATTACCTGACTAGATGGAAGAATTCATGGAGTCTAAGCTTATTTAGATAATCCGTTGTTTAAATTCACCTTTTTTAAGAAGTTCAATTAAGTCATTAATATTTTTATCGAGGTTATAAAGGCCCTCAAATGTCTCTACGAATGGGCAGCGATTACCATTGATATTTCACAAAAGATACAACACAAGCAATGGATCTTATAGCCATAAAAGCTTTAAAAATATGCCGCTCCTTAAACGACTCTCTCACCCCCTCCTCGTCCTCCCCTTCAATATGCCCCCCAAATTCCCCCTTAAACCCCAAAAGGAAATAAAAGACGTTTCATTGATCAGAGCCGCCCCCACAAATTCTATTTATTGCAATTCATAGGAGTGTTAACGGCGGCCAACGGTTGGCCGGCAGGCATTTTCAAAGATTTCCAATTTTGCGGAGGGTTTCACCCATCACGCCTATGTCCTGAGTGGGGAAGGCTCCCCCTTAACAGGCTAGCCCCATCTATGATCATTCAACTTGTGCATGAGGTCATTCATCAGATGAAGCGACACTAGAAACCAATGGATTTCATTATGAATATTTAGCCTCTCAAACTCGATCAAGAGATGGCATGCGTAAAAACATTTATTGGTCCTGTTTTGCGTTGAGACTTTGGGAGACGCCCCCTAGGTAAGGAGTCTTAAGGGCTCGTGTCGGGCGCTCGGGCCTTGTTTGGCCTCAACGACAAATGGAAATATTGGGACTCCTTACGGGACGGCATTGGCAGGAGGGAAGGAACTTACGAGTCCTTGTTTGGGGCGAGATTTTGCCGTGATATATGGCGGCTGGAAATCTTGGCCGCTTTAATTGTATAAAAAGCGAGGACAACGCGTGCGCGTGGACGCCCACGCGCACGGTCCTGCCGTGTCAAACGTCGCGTGATTATGCGCGTGATCGCAGATCAGCGCCGATACAACGCATGTCTGCGCCAGCGCATCGCCGATCAGCGCCAACACATCGCAGATCAGCGCCGATACAACGCATATCTGCGCCAACGCAACGCAAATCAGCGCCAATACAACGCCTGTCTGCGCCAACGCACCGCAAATCAGCGCCAATACAACGCAATACAATGTTTGCGTCAATGCACCGCAGATCAGCGCCGAAACTACGCATGTTTCTGCCAACGGATCATAGATTAACGCGGATACAACGCATGACACCGCCGATGCAACAGAGATTAGCGCCGAAATACCTTCGCAAACGCATCGTACCTATATCGGCATCGATGCTTGGAAAGTATTTGCCGATGCATTGAAAGAACACGCCGATATTCACATTATCAATAAATAAATACTTACTAATATCGTGACACGTTCACTACGGCATTTCGTACATCGTTATAAGACCCGAAACACAACGCCCACATTCAAAAATTCTGGCGACGTTTTTAATGGGTTAAAAGGACATTGCACCTTTGCCTCACTTGCCTGCTCTCAGCTGCCGTGACGACATGGATTGTGGTGGACGTTTTGTTCACCACACGTACTCTCAATGCTGCGAGTTCTAGCGTTTCTGCAACGTGTAACAGCCTTTACTATAATGCAGATTTCAACGTCTTTACCTCAGCAGTTTCCAAAAGTTCACAGCTTTTCTCGGTGGCGTTCAATGTTGTTGGCTTCGCTGTTTACCGCAACTGATCGCACCATTTACCGCAGCTTGTTACAGTTCTTACCCTGGCGGCAGCAGCTGAGAGGCCTCCTTGGAAGTTTACTTTTAAAAGAAAATTTATTTGCAGAAAATCTTCCCATCGGTGACCTTGGTAGGTACCCAGACCCCCTTAGAATATCTCCCCACCTGTAGCTCCGCTCTGCTCTATCCCTGAATTTCATTCACCCCTTCTCCCCACCCGAGTTATCCCCGCGACCCCGGTTTTTGCACGCATGTTTCACCTCTTAGGTGGAACGACAAGAAGCACCCCCTCCCCAGCCGCAGGAGGGGTGGCGTTAAGGGGTTTAATGATCTTCTTTCTACCCATAATTACGTCGCGTTTACAGACAATCATACGCTCGATGTCACATCGTTTAGTCGCTTCTAATACGACCATAATTTGGACAGTCTTCCTTCGAGTTACGAAGTCCTTGCAGGAAATGACTCGACCCATGGAATATTTCTAAATTGAGCGACGGGTAAAATGAATTCCAAAAACGTCAAACTCAAGTCAAAGGATAAGGATTGGAAGGACTTGCGACCCGCCACTGCATGCGGAGGATTACTTCGTAACTCTTTCCTATCGCAGCTCCGCTCCTTCGTACCTCTACTTATTCGTACATCTTCTCCGTACATCAGTGAGATTAAGTATTCAGAGTTTCGTGCTCCAATAAAGCAGTTGGCACTCCACATTCTTCGATGATATTTAGCTAAATGCGATGCGCGATTCACAAATGCAGATTTACTCAGTATTCTTAGTATCTTTAATATCATTAGCATCCACAGACTCCTTAGCATTATAAGTATCCTCATTATTCTCAGTGTCTTTTTTATCCTTAATATCCGCGGTACTATTAGTGTCCTATGTATCCTTGTTTCCTTAGCATGTGTTGCGCACGTAGCAGGCATACAGCTAGCTAGATGAAGCTGATGTAAGTGTATTATAATGAATCATTCACATGTATGAGGACATTATGAGGGCATCTCACGACCATATAATGAATCATTCACATGTATGAGGACATTACACATGTAATGTCCTCATACATGAGGACATTATTCACATGTATGAGGACATTACACATGTAATGTCCTCATACATGAGGACATTATTCACATGTATGAGGACATTACGGTATACAGCTGCACGGTATACAGCTGCACGGTATACAGCTGCACGGTATACAGCTGCACGGCTTACAGCTGTCCTGGGCTGTCCTACTTAAGGAGAAAGTTTGGTCCTTGATAGCTGATACCCGCTTGACTTACGATGGTCGTAACGCTTACGATGGTCGTAACACTTACGATGGTCGTAAAAACTTACGATGGTCGTAACACTTACGATGGTCGTAACACTTACGATGGTCGTAGCACTTACGATGGTCGTAACACTTACGATGGTCTTATCATCTACGATGGTCGTAACACTTAAGATGATCGTAACACTTACGATGGTCGTAACACTTGCGATGGTCGTAACACTTACGATGGTCATAACACTTCCGATTACCAGAGCCATCGTTCGTTAGGAAATTCTATAAAACAATCATATTAAATTAACAAGTTGCATTCAAGAAGTATTATCAATAATTAAGGATCCTATTCAATGATATACAAGAATTATAAAATTCATCGGGGACACGGCAAGAAAGTAGCTGAATGAGGTGGATGTGCAAGTATATTTCTAGAGTGATAAATCCTGCCTCTGTGCTCTGCTAATCTAGTGAGTTGAATGACGTCATATTGAAGTAGGTTGAAGCAGCTGAGTTGATAAGCTATAAACGATCACTGGAAGAATGTCTTCATTCATATTGTATTGAATAATTACGAACATTCTTTTTAATTATCGTGTGTAATTTGATAAACAGGAATCCTGATGAAAGCTTGGCTTATCCAACAGTTCAGGACCGACAAAATCACAAGTTCAAAATTGATACTGAAATTGTTGGATGAATAATTAATAGTTCTATAGAAGTATTAATTATTAGAATAATAGTTCTATAAAACTAGAATAGCTCTATAGAACTATAGAACTAGAACTATAGAAATAACTATTAATTATAAAACTAGAATAGTTCTATAATTAACGCTTTCTCACGTTGTAAGCAAAGCGAGTCCATTTAAATTGAACTCCTAACTATATAATCATAACTATATACCTATATATAATTATATATAACTATATAAAACTATATAAAACTATATATAACTAAATATAACTATATATAACTATATTAATGAAGTTCGCCGCCAAGTGAAGGCGCCTTGCGCGGTATGTGTGCTGGCGCCGTGACGACGCGTTACGATGGGGTCAAAAAACCCCAGCGGGAGGTTAAATGGGGGGCAAAAATGAAGGGAGTAATTGGGGGGGACTAGGAATGGGTGAGGTGGGGAGGGATAGAGGCGAGGTATACGCACAATATACACACAATATACGTACAATATACACACAATATACGCACAATATACACACAATATATGTACAATATACACACAATATACGCACAATATACGCACAATATATGTACAATATACACACAATATACGCACAATATACACACAATATACGCACAATA